CAGTTATTTAGCTTTAAATGTTTCTATGTATCCTGTTACATAAAAGCTTGCTGATGTGTCAAGCAACCTACACTAAAGTAGGAACAGTATAGAAATTCAGTACATGAAAAGCATCTCAGGGTTTTTTCCTCTGTGTGCATGTATTTATTATTACCTTATTCAATGTAGCATATTCTTTTAAAGGAATATAAACTTGTGTATGTCAATACAGTGCTTTAGAGATGTGGATTTACTTACACTGTGTATCCTTCTGTTTAACGCAAAGCCCCACCACCTCCTAAGCGAGCTCCAACCACTGCACTGACCTTGCGGTCTAAGTCAATGACCTCAGAGCTTGAAGAGCTTGGTAAGAAAGTGTTTTTTCACAAGCATGCTGGCATAATAGAAATGTAAATAAATGCAAATAGATATATGTATATATGTTAAATTGCCTAAAAGGAACTGCACTTTGTACAGTATATAGAGCAGAAAAGGTTTTAAGAATGCTGCATCTTTGGAGAGTTCAACTTCTGCATGATTCGCATGAAGAGTTTTTGTTTAAACTTGTGCCTTTCCTGCTACGCAAGAGAATGTTGATACATTTTATGCATCATCAAAGTTTGACACATCTACTAAAGAGTAATGCCGTGTCATATTTTGTTAGCTTTGCTTTCTACATTTTCAGTTCATCTAATATTGTTTTATTTTAAATTCCTGTGGCCTCTCATTAGTGGATAAAGGTAAGCTGCCAGAAGCTGTTGTTAAAAAGCTGACAGTGTTAAAGCAGCTTCAACTTCAACTTGTTTTCGTTAGACTCTGCTCTGAAAAAGTGCATATTATGATATCACTTTGACTTCTGTGCATGATATAAACGTAATTCTTCTCACTATTGCTAATAAAAAAGTATTGAGCATTCAGTCTTTTATTTGCTAAGTTTAAGAAATGTGATTGTAGGTTCCTTTGCTTGATCATCCACATTCTAGATAGGCATAATCCTTTGGGAATTTTCATTTGTTTTCTAGAAGTGAGGAAGGTAATAGTGCTCTTCTGCTAGATCATTAAAAAGTAGAATTTCTGCAGCTAGGCTAATAACATGCTGTTAATGGACCCTATATACAAAGAGAAAAGCCCAGTACATATTTTCATATGGCTACGACACTAAACCAGTGTGTTTAGCAAGTGATAATTGGGTAGAAAAACAAAGCATGTCCCTCATGGCAGAGTAAGAAGAGTCTCTCATACAATAAAACCATCATTCCATGTAACCCTACATTGATTGAAATCCTTACATTTTATAATCATTTATTTTTTTCTGGCATGGACTCATCTCAAGGCTAACTGTAAGGAATCAAAGCCTTGTGGCCACTTTTTCCCCCCTTGGAAGTCAATGTTTTCTGGGGCAGGTGGACCCCATCCATCCTTTAGTGAGTCAAGTCACATAGCTTCAGGGGAAGTTCTTACCAAGGAAGAGATGCTGAAGTGGTTACTGTCTTCTTGATGGTATAACAACCAAATGAAGACCAAAATGGAACACTCTGATTATTTAGCTCCAACAGATCTCAGGAAATTTGGGGTTTCCGTGCCAGGAAGTTTAGGAACTTGACCAGAGCTTTCAGCTCCATAATTTTTCTTCCAGGATTAAAATGTAAAATAATATTTCTGGAGCCACGTTTTGGGTCTGGGTGCTTTGATTTATTTTCCTTTCACGGAGTGCTGAGAGCTTGTGAAACTTTGCTGGCTTATCAACAACTTTTCCCAAGGGGATAGAAATACTTGGGCACTGATTTTCCCCCTTCATTATCCCCTTCTGCAAATCACTTTGGATATTCTTCTATTTCTCTTACTTTTCAATCTCACATAGCAGATACTGTTCTTAAGGCAGAGAGAGGAAGCACTCTCTTCTAGGGGAAAATAGCTTACTGATTGTAACATCACCTCTGCAGTGAAGACCATCATATTTTAGCTTTCTCACCCCCTGTTCAAGTTTATAGTACTTGATCTGCTGTTCTCATCGGCTGGCAGAAAGCACTGCAGCTCTTGTGGCTCGCAACCATGGAACATACTTGAATCTTTAAGCACATTTCCCATCTATATCTTTATCCAGATGGGGTAAATGTTAGTGGCAAGACTTCACTATTCTGGGGAATAGTCCTGAACCATGTTCCACAAGTGTATGTCCCCTAGCAAAGCCGTAATGATACTAGAGCATGGCAGAAATTTGTCTTCTTCCTAAACAAGCCTGTAAATACCAGTTGTGTGATACTCTGAACATTTGCCACTCTAGCAAACAATATGACTACTGTTATAAATAACATCTGTGGTCTACCTATTTTAATACTGGTCCTGTAAAAGGACCAAAAGCAGAAGGAACAGGAATTCTTAAATTGCACAACAACCGACCAAGCTTCCAAAAAGAAAATGTTCTCACTATCATCAGTTAAAAGTTGTCTTCTGACATAAAACACAGATTGTATGTGTGTATTTCTATATAATTTATATATCTTTATTTGTATCTGTGTATATATTGGACATCTGTATGAGCTATGAGAACACCCACATTTTTATATCCATTAAACTATCTAATGAACAAGCATTTGTTTCAAAACATATATGTGCAGCCTAAATAGGAAGCATGTAGAGATGAACACTGTGGATGTTCTCATCAATATTTATGTGTAATCCTTTTTCTGAACTAAAGAAGCTCATGGTCTCAATAATGTCTCGTGGCAAAGAATTCCACAGGCTAATTATGTGCTGTGTACAAATGTATTTCTTTTTTATTGGTTTTAAACGTGATGCCTTTAGTTTTAGTGAATGTCCCCTGTTATGTAGTAGAAGAAACAGATAAATAGAAATTCCCTATTTGTTTTCCCTCAGAGTATGATTTTTTTTTGGCTAAGCTAAACAACATCTTTGTGTAAATATATAGAAAGATAGATAGATCTTGCATTCTTTACGGTCACTTCCTTTGCCTGGCTCTGAACTCTACTTGTGGTTTTATTGACATGCTTTTAGTTACTCTGTGCTCCATAACACTGAGCAGACCATCTCAATTGTCCTCTTTCAAATGAGTTAATCCAAAATGTGGCGGATAACATGTGCTCCTGATTCCTTTCCACTTCAGTCTGCAGAGGTTTGAAAACGCCCTGTTACCATAGTTCGAGAGCCCTGGTTATCAATAAGTTTCCCCACTTACTGTTTTTAATAAACCATTTAGGAAAAAAATATGTACATGTGTCCCTAATATCTGCAGGGGAGCAATTTCTTATAGTTAAGTATAATCCCTGATAAACTGTGCTTTTGCCAAGCTGTTTATCTGCTGTGGTTTGATAGATACATGCATAGCAGAAGCTAGCAGGGAGAGACTACTTCTTAGGTGGAAGAAAAATGTTTATGCTCAAAATGACAGACAAGGATTTAGCATATAAAAATTACCTTCAGAATTGATTCACAGTTCATTCCCTTTCTATTTCCAAGCTTCAGTACGGAAGAAGAAGGGTAAGGGGAAGCATTTTGTCTCTTGTTTAACCTGTTTCTCACCTTTCCATAGTGAAGGATAATAACATAATGTAAATGTTGGCATATGGTCCAGTTTATTTTATGGTGTCAAATGTACATTAATTATTCTATATGTTTTTTAGTTATTTAGTTAATAAATTGCAAACACACTAAGAACTCAAACAGAAGACTACATTTGAAAATAGTCCCCCACATTTCTTACTTTTGTCTCCTTTCCTTCATCTTGCCTTTTTTTCCTTCTTTGTATCCAACTCTTTTCCAAACCCTTCCATATCATCACCTCACAGTTACTGTGCTACCTGGCAGCCTCAGAGTATCCGTGGCCAGTAACGTATCCTCAGTGTAGTCCTACGTTAGTGATTTCACTTGTCTCTTTAATGGCCAAATGTTACTCCCATAACCACACTGTCTCTGTCTCAGGAAGTAGGGATCTTGCACACAACACTTGTATTTTTTGACCTGGAGAACTGCTGCTCTGCACTATTTTAAGTTTTCAGTATAACATCTTCCACGCTGTCCCGTATGCATGGAGTGCCCTCCCTGAACTGATTCATAAGGCCACATCCTTCTCCTTGAAATCTCTCCTAAAGACCCACTTTCCCTATGATCCCTATTAAGCAATCATCTCAGTAATGATGGCTAGGCAGAGGGGCAGGTAGAAATAGTGGTGCTACTTGAATAGCCTTTCCAAATGTAAATGTATATACATGTATACAAAGTTTGTTTGTGTTGAGCTGTATTTTTCCATACTCCTGTATGTCATTTTGCTCTCCTAGATTGTAAGCTCTCCTGAGCAGGGACTGTGTCATTTCCACGTTTTCATGGCGTCCAGCCCAAGGAAGGGTCTAAAACCTCCCTGAGCCCCTGGGTGGTAGCTGGTAGAACAGTCTGTGTCCTGCTCTTCAGCAAAGTTCAGTGTCATGGAAAGGGAAGCTAAGCTGTAGGCAGTGTCTTCTCTCAACAGGGAAGCTTTTGCTTTTTAACACTAAATGGGACAAAATTGGGATTATTTTTTTTTTCCACTCTTTAGCTTTCTGTTCTTTCCTGACCTCCTTTCAGGTCACTAACAAAGGTTCCAGCTAGTGATATTTGCCATTCTCCATTCAGAGAATCTGACAGAATAAATCCCATTGCTACTGGTATTTTTCTGAAAAATGTATTTTGGCAGCATGTAAAAAATCTTTACATTGTTACTGGAGAGTCTTCCTTCAATGGAAAATTCAGTTTTCTGGGTCACAGATGAGGGAGGCATTAAGATGAAAAGAATGGCTTTTGTGCTTCTGTTTGCCTGGTTCTGTCGGTTGTCTTTTGAGATGGGTCGTGGTTCCTTGGGAGGATAGGAGGAGGGAAAGACAATGGCTGTGGTTTCTATGTTCAGGATAGAAGACAGGAAGCTTGTGTCTGAAGAGACAGGTGATAACCTCTCTGGCTTCACAGCAGTATGGCATGGGCAGTATCAGCATTTGACTGCAGTCACATAGCAGGAGTTACTAAAGTGTAACCTGTACTTCATCCGCGCCACTGATGTTCTTCTTACAGTGGTTGCCTAACCTGCAGAAAGAACATCCAACTTCAAACTGTGTTTGGAGGGATGTCTTTTCAATAGGGAAACTACTTTGGGGACTCTGTGGGATAGTGGGAGGGGGAAGAGGTGTGACTTGTACATTCACAAGAATTGTTGGATGAGTGTTACGGCAACATGTAAGCAAACAGTTAGTTGTAGCAGCAATTTTTTGGAGGCAGTACTTAAGATAGAATTCCAGGTAATGTGTAGTGAGCCCATTAATACTGAAGAACAACCAAAATATTCATGCAGCAAATTAAAACGAAGATTTGAAAATATTCTAAAACCTTAAAAGAAAAGATTTTAGGTCATCATTTTCCTCATCACTACAGAAAATATTAGAGTTTCAAAATTAATATTTTAAAATAATAAATTTAACTCTGCATAAAAAAGTTCATGTGACTCATGAAAAACTTGTTTTTGAAGGAGTTTCCTTCAGGTTTTGTTTCAACTTGTTCATCAATAACTTCTTGTGGATGGAGAACATTAAGATTAGTTGATACTTAAGGAACACATCCATAAACTAAGCTCTGTAAATGTCTAGGTACATGATTTACAAGTTTCATTCTCTTAAGCTTTTTCACTGCCAGGAAATGGGTTTGATTTAGTGAGCAATTCAGGGGTTCCAGTGAAAGCTAAAAAGGACAATGTTTCATTTTAAAAACCTCATATAAAAATCCTCTAAGAGAAAGTACAAAATTAAGACTAGAGCAGGCTAAATTTTCATAGTGAAATGGGAATGACAGGATAAATTATTCTTCTGCAATAATAAATATCACTTTGACAGTGTCACACAAGTGTCACTTGTGAGCTAGGGGGTTGTGCGTAGATTTGATGTGGTAATCAAGATAATCCCTCTATATGTGTTGAAGCTGATCTGTGGGGTTTGATGTGGGCTCTAGTACCAAATACAAATGTAGGGGTTTCCTCCTGTGAACAGGTTAGATGCTAGTACCACCTCTCAGGTACAGAATACCTGTGCTATCATCCACACAGGATATTGTTATGTGGCATCAAGTCTTTCTATTTGAATAGAAAAATATCAGTTGATGGCATTCAAAAGAAATATTATTAGCTCTGTCTGCAATAAGCATCCACACTTCATCTCATTCCTGTTGTCCATTGTTTCAAAGGTGGCACATTCTAATGGCATCTGAAACAATGAAATTGCAGAGCAAATACATATCAATGAATGCCAAGCAGTGGATTAGCTTACAGTGTTATGTTGTGTTTGAAGAAAGCACTCACAAAGGTGTCTGAGTTCAAAAATCAGGGGTTTATTTCACTGTGGTGAAGTTGATGATGCAGATTTGTCTGCAGGAAACAATGGAAGTACCATCAAAGCAACTTTCACAGCACTCACAACGGCAACTCCTTTGATAGTTTCCAGCATCTGCAGTCCTTCTATGCAGGAAGAAGGTTTTCTGATCTTCACCAGCCACTGTATTTCAGAAGATGAGAGCAAAAGGCATCAGGATTAATGAAGAATTCTTGAAGGGTATCCTTGTAAGTAATTGATTTGCATTACATATTTGCAATTCTAATAAGATAGCAATGTAGTAATAAGATAAAGGTTGTCATCAAGTTGTCATTTTTTACCAGCACAAAGCAGTGACTCTGAGGGGAATTTGTGAAATGTATGTGTGAAAAAACATGGGCCCCAGTTTTTGTTGATGTAGCAAGGTTACAGGTTTTAGGACTTGTAGTCTTGTGGGGAGTCCACAGCAACGTAAGAAGGTAAAGGATTAGGACTGTGCCTATGACATATATGCTTTTAAAACACTTTATAAGAGCAAAGTACTGAAAATCAGCATATTTCAAGGAGCACAATGCTAACATTATGTTTTCCCCTGGAAAAAATTTGGCACCTACCTGGCAATGTGCAGATTAGCAACTTTTGGCACAGAATCTTAAATTAAGAGGTAACTCTCGGTACTGAACACTCCAAACCAGGCCTTATGTTGGGTAAGGTGGGCAGCTTTAACTAATAGTTTGCAAACACTGGAATCCTGAGCAGAGGTCAGTTGAATCTCTGGGTGGGAGCTAGTATTCTTTCAAATTTATCAGCTTATTCTTGAGTATGTAGCCCCCTTTTTTGATACTTGTTTTTCTTTACTGCAGGACAGTAGTTGAAAAGGTTTTCAAAACCTTTCAGCATCAGCCAAACAAGACAATGGTATAAAAGAAGTTGGAAAAGGAATTGTAAGTGTTAAAGAAAACATGGGGTTTGTAGCATTTGGAAGCAGAGGAATTAAATACGTTGGCATATGTGAGTGTCACTTGCTATACTCAGATATTATTAATTCAATATCTAACCACATAGTGAAAATCACGAGTGCCTGAGGAGCAGTAAAACTTGCATGTGTTTTCCAACATGGTACAGTTAGGGCAGTGGAATATTTTTCAACACTTTTAATGTGTTCTCTCTCTTTTTCAGGAGCCAGGGAGATGAAGGACTTATCTCCCTCATCTCAAAACTCCCTTTGCTGCTATTTCTCTTTTTTTTTCCTTCAAATGTTCACATACCCATGTTAATTAATTTCTAACAGAATTTAAAATAAATGGTTTTAGCTAATTCATCATAGTTTGTTTGGTTTTTCCCCTCGGTGTGGAAGCGTGAGAGTTAAGTGTAAGAACAGAGAAGGCTGCAAGTGTCTTAGGTCCTTCACCTTTCTGTTTGGTTTCTTTTGGTTGCTTGTCTTTCTTTTGTGACTAGGCCAAATTTTCAAATGCTGTCTCTTAAACAGAACATCAAATTGCCACTTAAATTCCACCTGGCTTGCAGGGTAGGAGTGGGTATTGACTATATTCTCTGCTTTGTTTTTGTTCTTAAACAGAAACCACTGTTAGACAATGACCATTCCTCTTTCAAGGTAGGCCGAATTGTAAGGCTTCAGGATTGCAGGTGCATTTTAAATGCCTGTATAATTCTTTCATTAATTGAACATACTGTTAAAGAGCTGGTACTTGAAAATTGTATCTGTAGAAAGAATTTGAACATACTAGTTTTCTGCCTTCCTTAAAATTACTTCTGATGGTGTGATTATCATATGTAAATGTGACTTATATGTACTAATGTGAAAGTATTTTCAGCCCTAGAAACACAAGACTTTCTTTCCAGAAAGTTTTAATAGTTCTTTATTGTGAATACATACAAATCTTTTTCATAAATCATGTGATAGTATTTGTAGATATTCAATGTTAAATGATTCATTGTAGTCACTAAACAGTTTTTATGTTTTACTGATTTATTTTACCTTATTTTCCCTTTTTTTGGATTTTAATGTGCTTTGTAGAGTTTACAGTATCTTAGAGAATATCCAAGTATTTTTACTCCATTTTCATAGAAGGAAAGTATTTCAAATGGCTTATGGTTTTGAGCGTATTGCAAAGCACTTTTGTTATTTCCTCATAT